AAGTGGGACGCCCCGGTGGGAGGTTTAAAAAGATAACCCCTCCCGCCCATGGGGAGGGGAAAAAGGCAGGGGCTAGCGGGAGGTGAAGGGAGGACTGGGAGAGGGGGAGAGTCGGCGGACCTCCCCGGAATGCAGACCCGGCCTCCACCTGGACTACCTAGCGCAGCCCCCGTCGCTGAAGGGCGGGGGCACAACAGGGCCGGCAGGCTGTCGGCCAAACCAAAGGTGACTACCCCCGGGTTGGGAACGCCGGGAGGGGGGAAAGGAAGCAGCCCAGGGTGGAGCTCGATCGAGTTGGCAGGCTGACGAATTACGGCAGGAGCCCCATCAGCCGGACCGGAGCCAGGCAGTTCCGCGTCCTTTGGGCCCTGGGCTGGGGCCCGTGAGTGAGGGCGGGCCCGGGCTCCCCTTTCCCCCACCCATCCGTGGGGCAATTACATTGGCACTCGGGCGGAAGCAAGGCACCCGAGCGCGTAGCAGAGAGCTGAGACCCCGCAGCAGAGCGGGGCACCAGGACACTGGGAGGTGCTGTGCCAACTCCGGGGACGTACGGATACAGACACACTGGTACAGTAAGGCTCACCAATCTGATCTGAGATTCCAAGTTCGTCTCCCCTAGCCCCGGTTACAGGCTGTACAGTTCCACCTCTGGAGGCTCTGAGGGTCCAGAACAACAGTCACACTTACAATCAGGTTATCCAATTAAAACAAATGTTGTTATTACAGATATTAAGGTGGAAAACACAACAAAGAATATAGCACTGAGTATACAGATTAATTGAATCTCCTCTGTCGATAACTAACAAAATTTGTGTTATGAATTGGACTTATCTAAGTATACAGATAGAATTATCTAACAAGATTTCATAGTCACATAATCTTTTTTTCCCAAAGGCCGAGTGCGGAAGGACCAGCCTCCCTCCACCTGAGGGACCGTGGTGTCAGTGTAGTATGGAAAACTTAGAAGCAAGACTTAGACAGAATAAATGAATCAAGACAGAGATATAGAGATTGAAAAGAGAACAGAGCTTGTTCTCCGACCTCAAGAGAGAACAGTGGGCACTCCAGAGTGGGCTTTAGGAGCAGCAGCTGCAGAAGCCTCAACTTCCTTAATTCTAGGCCTTTTCCCGCTTTCTGGCACCAGGATGTCCAACCTCTTAACCAAAGTTTGACTTTGTACCCAGAGATTTCTATGGGTACCTGTAGCTGATTGGAGAAGATATCGAAAGGTCTATGAATACGTATAGGAAAACCATTTGATGCCTCCTTGGACCGATTCCCGGCATAAGGAAAAAGCAGGAAATCTGTTTTCTTAAGTTAGCTTGGCTCTGCAGTTTTGGACTTATTTATACTCACGCAGTATTGAGTCACAGCCCATTTGTGCCCGAAGGCCCAACTGAAAGTTTCACCACAGAGGTCTTTCATAATTCTTACACAATATACAGATACATATCGAGAATAAAATAACAAAAAGAAATAATGTAACCCTTTACTTTATCGCAATACTGTTACCAAAGCTAATTCATATAGGGTAAATTAAATCCTGTAGGCCTTGCATTACTGGCATGCTATTAAAATATATAAAGAAAGGGATAGGATAGGAAAGATGTATCTTAGCAGGCTACACCTGGGTCTGTGGCAGAAAGAGGTCCTTCTGTTGCCCAGCCCCCTATTGTGGCCTTGTTAGTGGCTTCCCAGGCCTCCTTGCAGGTCCCTGACCAGGTGGTGTGGGTGAAGGGGTCATCCTCCTCCTCGCCCAAAGAGATCCCATTAGGAGGACCTCCTCCATTGCCTGGCCCAGAGTCTGGGGGTTCAGGCTGATAGCGTGTTGGAGGATTCGGACCCTACCGTTGACCTCCTACAATCTGACAGCCCCACCAGAGTGGCCTTACTCATCAACAAGACCATGACAAAGATCACAAAGTCCCTCTGGCACACCCCGGCCTCTTTTCCACCGATTGATAAAAAGGCCAAGAAGAGGTACTTTGTATCTCAAGAGGGGTACTGTGAAGGGGTATACCAACCCTGCACTAGGGAAGAGGGAGTGGGTTCCGCTCTGTTGGGTGAAAGAGCCCCTCCCTGACAGCCCTGCCGGGCAAGCTCCCAGTGGGAGCTTTTTTTTTTTTCCCCCTCCACTTCCCCTTTGCCCTCCCGCTCCCCTTCATGGAGTGTGTGCTGTGATTGGCAGGTGGAAACTGTTGGCTTCTAATTAAAGTTTGAATTCTAGAAGCCTCTGCTGATTGGCTGAGCCTTGTGGGGGAGGAACTCCAGGGCTTTATAAGGCAGTGGCCAAGCGACCAGGTGAGTGCTAACAGGGAGTTTAGAGAGGGAGTTCTCCAGGTAAAGGAGAAGCAGATATAGGACTCTTGAGGTAAGTGTGTGTTGTGTTTGGGGCTTTCTTGCTGTGTGCTGAGCTTGTGTTTGTGAGTGAGGGTTGATGTGTGGTGGGGTTTCCCTCCCCCCTCTGTGTTGTGTTTGAGAGTGAGGCTTTTCCACGCCCCCTCCCTCTCTCCTTTATGGAGTTTATGCTGTGATTGGCTATGATTGGTAGGGGGTGTGATTGCCTGTGATTGGCAGGTGGAAACTGTTGGCTTCTAATTAAAGTTTGAATTCTAGAAGTTTCTGCTGATTGGCTGAGCCTTGGTAGGGGGAGGGGCTTTCAGGCACTCCAGAGCTTTATAAGGCAGCGGGCAAGTGATCAAGGAGCTTGCGAACAGGTGAGTGCTAACGGAGTTTAGAGAGGGAGTTGGGAAGGGCGGGAGGTTCTCTTGCCTTTCTTTTTAAATCCCTTCTCCAGGACAGCAGCGATGGATGGTGAT